GTGAGGCGGAGAAGGCGGGGGCGGGCAAAGGCTAGTGGAGTCGGGATGGGAGGGCGGTGTGCGTGACCGGGGCTATGCGAGGAGAGGGCAGAGGAGGGGGTCGGCGGGAGGAGGGCTGCGTGTGGATCGAGGGTCTGCGCGAGGATGGGGGAAGTGGAGTCTGTAGGGGAGAGGGTCAGGGTGGAGGGGATCTGCGCAAGGTGTGAGACGGGAGGCCACAGGGAAGAGGATCAGCTTGAGGAAGGGGTTGTTGTAGAGAGAAGGTGCGCCTTAAGGGAGGGGTGGTGCGAGGAAGAAATGGATCGCGGGCGGTCACGGGGGGAGATCCCCGAGGGTTCAGTATAGAGATGTTACCGAGGGTGGTGACTCATGTGAGGGTCGAAGGACTGTCTAATGCAGCGGAATCCGTGAGTGAGAGGTTTAGCTGGCTGAACTGAATTAGTTGACCAGCGATGAGATGGGGGCAGGGGTAGCAGTCAGTGTTGGGAGTGGGAGCCACGGAAGAGTAATTATAGCACGTTGGAGGAAGGAGGCCGTGTGAGTGAGCTGCTCGTGGGAACAGGCAGGGGCACACGGTTGATCAGTGTCAGAGTAAGAGGTACGTATGAAGGATTAGGAATCGCATGAAGAAGAAGGTGAGGGGTCCACTGTCAAAGGTGGGAAGGAAATGGTGGTGTTGGCCTGAGGAGTTTTCCTGTGTTGGAAGTAGTCCTGCCTGGAATTTGTATTAGTGTTTTCCCTTCATCACTGATGGAATCCTTCATCAGTGCATGGTGTTTAGGAAATTATAGGACTGTGCAAGCAGTCCTAAATTCTAAGGGGTTAAAGAAGTTACACAGTTTACCCTCCTTTCTACCCCTTCTCCAGATGTGATTTAGTGTAGATGTTCCTGAGAAGATTGCCTGCCTGTTCCCCTCTCCTTTATCTTCTTCCTTTCTTTTCATATTGATTCACGGCAGGGTAAGACTGCCCTTTAACCTAGTGTAGAGTCTGAAGTTTTCTTTCACAACCAAGTTTAGGGGAGAGGGGGAAGGGGAGAAGAGCATGGAAAACAGGGAAGTGGCTCTGGGAACACCACATTAAACCCCAGCTTCTCCCAGAGGTACCTCTAAATAAATCCTGGCTTATTTCATAGCTATTTTTGTCAGGCTTCTATTTTTACTTTGTTAACTATGAATTTGGTCTTTTAATCTCTTTTCAGACCCATATTTGTAAACAGTTTATTCTTTTTCCAGTCTATTACCATCTCCTGTTACAGAGTTGTAATAGAATTTCAAGAACATGACTGTACATTCAGTAGAAAACTAGGAAGGACTTAATGGAAGAAAGGGCAAAGGGTTAGGAATCTTGAGAGAAAATTCCTGCTTCAGAAAAAGGTGCAACAAAATGCTAATTGCATAAATGATACAGAGACCTTGGGAATGCCACAAGTCATGGAAATTGGGTCAGGTCACTGAAAAGGAATTCAAATAAATTGCCTGTTAATCGAGGAGTTGGGGTGTATGTATGAGACCTGCAGTGCACAACTGGAAATGTTAAGTCTATGGAGAATGTTGTGCCCTTATGGTAAGAGCAAGAAAGACAGCAGATGATAAATACTGGAAAGGTCGAGGTTTATGTAAAGGTCAGGTAGAACTTTCTAATCAAAGCTGCAAACCCCGGTTGTAATGGAAGAGTTCAAAATAAAAATATTTATTGAATACCATTTTAAAACCCCATAAGACTAAATTAATTCATTCATTAAGGAGTTTGTGGCTTTCATTAGAGTCATTGGTCAGTGTTTCTGAGAACATGGAAAATTGTTAATGTATGACTCAGTATTATTTTTGGAAAATAACAACAGACTCACATCCTTACAATTCACAGCTAACAAATATTGACCTTTTGTATATTTGCTTCAGATCTTTTTAAAAATCGAAGTAAACATTATAAATAAAATTTGAAGTGCCATTTGAATCCTCAGTTTCATTCTCCCTTCTCTTCAGAGGTAATCACTATCACGAATTTTGTGTCTTTCTAGTCTGTGTTTTTATACTTCTAATTACATACGCAGTTATAAATGATACATAATGTTTTTTATTTATACAAATGAAATTGTACTGCATGTATCTTTCTGCAGTTTGCATTTGGAAAATGTCCATTTATTACATATAGCTTTGGTTCATTTTTAAAATTGCTATTGGTTTGTCATTTCTATATGCTACATTGTAGTTATCCTTTCTATTACTTGTGATATCGGAGTTGTCTTCGGCTTTTCCTACTACCAGTAGTGAAATTAGGAAGGTTAAGAGCTTCCTTGCACAAGTCTGCAAGGTGTAGGAGAGTTTTTCTCTAGCAGGGTTTTGCTACCTCGGCACTACTGACATTTTGGACTGGATAATTCTTTGTTGTAAGGGGATATCCTATTCATTTTAGAATGTTTAGCAGCATCCTTGACTTCTACTCACTAGATGCCAATGTTACCTTTATAGTTATGACAACCAAAGCTATCACCTGCCAAATGTCCTCTGTGCAGCAAAATCACAGCTGGTTGAGAACCATTACTCAAGTTGTGTGTATGCAGAAGTGGAACTGCCAGGTTGTTCTGATTCATGTTAGTCTTAAAATATTCTTACTGATATGGTTTTAGGCAGGATTTATTTTTTACTTTAGTTCCTAGTGTGAGGGACCTTGCTCAGACTGACACTGGTTCTGTAGTACCAGGAGAGAATAGAAAGAGCATTAAGATTTCAGTTGGAGAATGGTTTGGAGACTGCTGTGTGGATACCTGTATTCTCAGCTTCCCAACCATACTAGACCTCTCTCCCTGAACAGGTTTTTTGGACCTGGGCATCTGTCTTTTAAGGTGGAATGTGTGAAGGAGAGAGAGAGCATAGGTTTTTGGGGTTTTTTTGAGTCTCACTGTCACCTAGGCTGGAGTGCAGTGGCATGCTGCTCACAGCCACCACAGCCTCAACCCGCTGGGCTCAGGTGATCCTTCCACCTCAGCCTTCCAAGTAGCTGGAACTGCAGGTGTGCGCCACCACACCCAGCTAATTTTTTTATTTGTTGTAGAGATGAGGTCTTGCCATGTTGCCCAGGCTGATCTCAAACCTGTGGGCTTAGGGAGTCCTGTTGTCTCTGCCTCCCAAAGTACTGGGATTACAGGTGTGAGCCACCATGCCCAGCTGAGCATAGGGATTTTAATGTTTTGATATAATGCTTAGAACATAGGGTGCCCTCAATAAATGTTTTTGAGTTAATCCTTAGTAGCAATGAAGATGGGATTAAAGGGCAAAGATAGCTGAGCTTCCTCATTCCTCTGCCCTTGAATTAAATCCTTGAGTTCACCAGCAGACTGAGGCTGCGGTGGCTGTGAGTGTGCCTCTGCACTCCATCCTGGGCATCAGAGTGAGACTCCAACTCAAAAAAAAAAAAAATCCTTGAGTTCAGCACTACGTGGGGAAGTAGATAAGGGCTAGGAACATTGTGGAATGAATCCAAAGTTTGAAATGTCACTCTGTCTCTTCTGGTAGGAATCAACAGCAGCCTTCCTTGAGGAACTGCCTTTCTCATTTGCTGCCTGGAGTTAACATTGTTTCCTGCTGGCAGAACCAGGGACATGCCAGCACTGTAAGGGTTATTTATCTGATCCTTTTACCAATTTCTTGACTGGGTGGGTTGAGCAGGGAGGAAATCGGAGACCCCACTTTTCTTTCATGGCTCTTTTAGTCATTTCAAATTATAGCCCAAATGCCTCCTTTCTTGTTGATCTTCCCACAGCTTTGTTTCCTGTTTCCTCTAGTACCCTTATAGTTCCCACTTATTTTTTCATTCTCCACCCCTCTTCCCCATCTAATGCCAGGGGGCTTGGATTCTGAGCTGATTGGGTATCCCATCCTCTGCAGAGCGGGATGAGTGGGTGCTCCGGTGGGGATGTGGTCCTTGACGGCCAGTGAGGGCGAGAGTGCCGCAGCCCACTTCTTCCTTGGAGCTGGAGATGAGGGGCTGGGCACCCGTGGAATAGGCATGAGGACAGAAGAGAGTGACAGCGAGCTCCTTGAGGATGAGGAGGATGAAGTGGTAAGACTAGGGTAAATGATATAACTTGGTGTTGGGGCCCCTGTCATGGAAAGATGAGATTCCATGAAATAGAGACACCTCTCCGTTATTTCCAAATGTATAGACTCGGTGTCATAAACAGGCCCCATCCTGGTTTAGAGGAGGGAGATGGAGATTGAATAGATTGCCTGTCTTTGGAACTCCTGCCCTTATATCCTCCTCCTATTGTCTCATGGTTATCGGTTCTCTTGCTCTTCTGCTTGAGCACACATTTCCTACTGTGGAATGGCTCCTATTCTGTAAGTAGTAGGAATCCCTACATGTTGCCTCAACCTAGGCCAAAGTTGTACTCCATAGGTCCAAAGTCCTGGCCACAGTAATTCTGTGCCCCAGGGAGATAAGACAGTGTTCCCTGGAGGGGCTGATATAGGTGGGAATTTCTTGAGTTTCTGATAATACTTCCTCCCTGTAGCCTCCTGAACCTCAAATCATTGTTGGCATTTGTGCCATGACCAAGAAATCCAAGTCGAAGCCAATGACCCAAATCCTAGAGCGACTCTGCAGATTTGACTACCTGACTGTTATCATCCTGGGAGAAGATGTGATCCTTAATGAACCTGTGGAAAACTGGCCATCCTGCCACTGCCTCATCTCTTTCCACTCCAAAGGTTGGGGTCTGGGAAGGAAAAAGACAAGGAATGGTGGTGGGAATGCTGGATTTGGAAATTAGATTCTTACTGTCTTATTTCATCAGTAAAGACACCATCAGCTCCCTGTGTCACACTAGAAAACCATGCATAGGGATTTGTTTTCCCTACATCTTGTAGGAGTTGCCGGGCATTTTAAAGCCTATATTCTAACCTCAGGAAAGATCTAAGACTCTTAGGAGCTCTGATAGAGTTGAATCTCTGGAAGGACCATAAAAATAATTTCTTTTTTACTTTTTCATGATAAAATAGCCTAGACTTGGGAAGCTGAATGGAAGAATAAGTGATGGGTTGGATGGGTAGCTTTAATATGTCTATCTGTCTTGCTGTTTTCTCACCGTCACTCTCTTACTTTGGTCTTTTTATTTCTTCTCTCCATCCCAGGCTTTCCTCTGGACAAAGCTGTTGCTTACTCCAAGCTTCGAAACCCCTTTCTTATCAATGATCTGGCCATGCAGTATTACATCCAAGACAGGTATAGCTTTCTATTGACCAATGGGATGGGCGGCCTTGGGACCATACTCTGGGAACATCCTTAGGGAACATACTCTGGGAGGGGTAGAGTAAAACAAACACGCCTAATTTTTGTAAGATACGCTGCTGAATTCTGTGCCCTGGTGTCTTCTAATCCCTGTGCAAATGAAATCTCTAGCCTCTCCCTTTAGTCACCACCTCCCCACCAACTTGTCCCAGCTAATTTATTTGGGGGTGACAGGAGGGAGGTGTACCGGATCCTGCAGGAGGAGGGTATTGATCTACCCCGTTATGCTGTACTCAACCGTGATCCTGCTCGGCCTGAGGGTGAGTACCTGGCCTTGTCCAGTCTTGCCTTTCCTTGTTTGCTATGACTTAGCCCAGTTCTTCAATCTTCTAGACATCCTCTGTGTGCCTATCTATCTATCTAGGGCTTTGGCTGTTGGATTATGGGTAGAGTTAGAACCATGGGACTTTGGACATATCCTTGGACCTTTTATATAGATATTGCCATACTTATATCCCATATATAGATATCTATATCATATATAGATATAACCATATCTATTACTAAGATATAGTCATAAAAATTTGAGGGTTATTGGGATTAAAACCTAGGGAAATGGGAGTTGGAAATATTCTACAACCATAGGCTATAGGAATGACCATACACCCACCTTTCAGAGTGCAACCTGATAGAAGGTGAAGACCAGGTAGAGGTCAATGGAGCTGTCTTTCCCAAGCCCTTTGTGGAGAAGCCAGTGAGTGCAGAGGACCACAATGTTTACATCTACTACCCCAGCTCTGCTGGAGGAGGAAGCCAGCGCCTCTTCCGAAAGGTGGGGGAGACATTGGAGCAACTGGGGGGTCAGAGAGGTAGAAGGACAAGGATGAGGTTGTGGGGAAGGAAGCTGGAGAATTTGGGAACAAGGTAGAGAGTTGAGGCAACATTTTTTCCTTCCTTTTTCTCCTGTAGATTGGCAGCCGAAGCAGCGTTTATTCTCCTGAAAGCAGTGTCCGAAAGACAGGGTCATACATCTATGAGGAATTTATGCCAACAGATGGCACAGATGTCAAGGTTATGGTGGATACAGGGACTTAAGAGGTTATAAATGTCTGGGTGGGGATGGGGTGCTTGGGAAGCAGCTGGAAGTGTATGGAGAAGGTCCTAGAAAATAATGTGTGAATGTGATTGTCTTTCATATTCGAGTGAAGATAAGGAGTACACATTCACATTTTTACTCCCAGAGCAAGGGCCAAGGTGACTTAGAAAATGGTATAATGTTGATAAATCATTTTTTAATTAGGGACTAGATGATAGTACTGGAGTCCTGAGGAGAAACCTTCATAATGATACTTTAGTAGGACTTAGTAAGAAAATGACAGTTACCTTATTCTTAATGCTCAGGGTTGGTTTGTTTGTTTTGTTTTGTTTTCATGTATTTATTTTACTCTGAAACTAGTCTACAGACCTAGTGCTCATATTGTCTTCTCATATACAGGGTGAGCTGTGGGCATACTCAGTGATGCTATGTACCTGCAGGTGTACACAGTGGGGCCAGATTATGCCCATGCTGAAGCTAGAAAATCTCCAGCTTTGGATGGGAAGGTCGAACGAGACAGTGAGGGGAAAGAGATTCGATATCCAGTCATGCTGACTGCCATGGAAAAGCTGGTGGCCAGGAAAGTCTGCGTAGCTTTTAAGGTAGAGAAATACCCAGGGAGGGTCAGGGAATGAGAGAGAGAGAGAGAGAGACAGGAGCAGGGGACCAGGAAGAAAGAGTGGCTGTCTTGTTACCATCTTTCTTCTTTCCCCTGCAGCAAACAGTTTGCGGATTTGACCTACTTCGTGCCAATGGTCACTCCTTTGTGTGTGATGTCAATGGCTTCAGTTTTGTCAAGAACTCAATGAAATACTATGATGACTGTGCTAAGATTCTGGGGTAAGAGACATAATAGTCTTCACTGGGGAGAATGAGCTTAGAGAGGAGAGTTAGACAGCTTTTGCTTTATTTTTAAATATTGTAAAAATGATTTAAAAGTAAAAAAAAAAAGCCGGGCTCGGTGGCTCAGGCTGTAATCTCGCGCCTTGGGAGGCTGAGGTGAGTGGATTGCCTGAGCCCGTGGGTTCGAGACCCGCCTGGGCAACTTGGTGAGACCTCATCTCTACAATAAATAAAAAATTAGCCGGGCATGGTAGCACATGTCTCTAGTTACAGCTACTTGGAAGGCTGAGGCGGAAGGATTGCCAGAGCCCAGCAGGTCGAGGCTGCAGTGGCCGGGAGCAGCCACTGCACTCCAGTCTGGGTGACAGAGTGAGACTCCAACTCAAAAAAAAAAAAGAAAGAGAGAGAGAGAGAAGTCTTCTTAGGCCCCTTCCCCTCCCAATACTGCCATTCCCAGAGATAATTACTGTTCACAGTTTTAGACATAATGATTTGTCTTTTTCTGACATATCCAAAAAACTATATTTAGTTTACTGAACATGATCATACTATAATACAATTCTGCAACTTGATTTTTTTTTTAAATTACCATGTAATGTTTAAACCATTCAAAAAAAAATATAAGAAATGATGGCTGTGGTGAGTATTCATGTATTCACCACTTAGTTTAAGAAATAAAATATTAAGAATATAGTTGAAGCTCAGTGGCTCAGTGGCTCAGCCTGTAATCCCGTGCCTTTGGGAGGCTGAGGTGAGTAGATTGCCTGAGCCCACGGGTTCGAGACACGCCTGGGCAACTTGGCGAGACCTCATCTCTACAATAAATTAAAAAATTAGCCGGGCATGTTAGTGCACGCCTGTAGTTCCAGCTACTTGGAAGACTGAGGCGGAAGGATCGCCAGACCCCAGCAGGTCGAGGCTGCGGTGGCCAGGAACAGCCACTGCACTCCAGTTTGGGCGACAGAGTGAGACTCTAACTCAAAAAAAAAAAAAAAGAATATAGTTGAAACCTGTATATATGCCTCCCTGGTAACATACCTTCCCTCCCCCAAAGGGAACCACAATCCTTAATTTGGTGTTTGTCATTCCCATACATTTATTTATATTTTTACTACATATATGGGGGTATTTGTTTGTATGTTTTTAGACTTTATATTAATGTATTCTTCTGCAGTTTGCTTGTTTTTGTGAGCTTTATTCTTATGTGTTGTTCTGGTTTATTCATTTTCACATGGCTTCTTCATGTTTCTCCCTTCTAGGAATACCATAATGCGGGAGCTTGCCCCACAATTTCAGATCCCATGGTCCATCCCCACAGAGGCTGAGGATATTCCCATTGTTCCTACTACATCTGGCACTATGTAAGCAAAAGTAAAAAACCTGGAGTAATCTACTTAAGACACCTGGGATTCCTGAAGCCAGACCAATGATTACTTCCTGACCCCACACTATCTGACTAGTGGAGCCTGGGCCTCTCCTAGGCAGTCTCCTTAAATTTACCTGTATTTTTAATCTGAGATCCCTTTTCCTGTCTTTTGACATGCCAAGTAGTATGTGATAACAGGAGGTAGGGCATGGGTGGGGCTGGGAGGGTGGGGAAAAGACTGTTAACATTGCTGATCTTAGGATGGAACTTCGTTGTGTCATTGCAATTATCCGTCATGGGGATCGTACTCCCAAGCAGAAGATGAAGATGGAAGTGACACACCCAAGGTGGGAAGAGTGTCCTAATTTAGACAAATAAGTTTTTTGTGAGATAGATTGGGGTAGGGGTCAGCTTCCAGAGGCTTTGAATATCTCCACCCCACACTGAAGCTTCTTCTTACTTCTTCAGATTTTTTGCTCTATTTGAAAAACATGGTGGCTACAAGACAGGGAAATTAAAACTCAAGCGACCTGAACAGCTCCAGGTAAGGTAGAGAATCTGTCCAGGAGGAATAGTGCTATGAGAAAAATGGAGGCTATGGGATTGGGAATCTTGATAAGAGACCCAGATAAAAGTGTAACTGGTCAGGATTTGGCCTCCTGCTTGGATACTCTATTATTTCCTCTAGGAGGTACTGGACATCACAAGGCTGTTGTTGGCTGAACTGGAGAAAGAACCAGGTGGTGAGATCGAGGAGAAGACTGGGAAACTAGAGCAACTGAAGTCTGTGTTGGAGATGTGAGAAAGGGGAAAGCAAAAGGGCGTCAATAACAGTGAGAATTGGAATGCTGGGGCAGAAAGTAAACTGTGACTTTATACTGCAGGTATGGTCACTTCTCAGGTATCAACCGGAAGGTACAATTGACTTACTACCCTCATGGCGTGAAAGCTTCTAATGAGGGGCAAGGTAAGATATAATCCCCCTTCCCATTACTACTCAGATTTTTATTTTTTATTTTTGGTTTATCCCCTCTTCTTCACCAGATCTCTTATTCTAGAGGCTATAGATGAGACTTCTACCCCAAATTTCCTTTCTGATCTCCTCAGAAGACCTAACATTTAGATGTTCCCACTATTTTCCTTAGATCAAGACCTATTCTCTGCCTCTTATTCCCCCAGATCCACAACGGGAGGCTCTGGCCCCATCTCTATTACTGGTACTGAAATGGGGTGGAGAATTGACTCCTGCTGGCCGTGTTCAGGCTGAGGAGCTGGGACGAGCTTTTCGCTGCATGTACCCTGGAGGACAGGGTGAGTGTTCTGGGAGGTAAATACCTAGCAGGACTGGGATAAAGTGATTAGAGAATAAGTTGGGGGAAATGAGGGGACTGAGCCAGTGGGGAAGTTAGAGGGGAAATGAATGTTTTTTTCTTCCACATGAGTATTTACAGCAGTCTATTCCTGGCCCTCTTTGCCCCCAGGTGACTATGCTGGCTTCCCTGGTTGTGGGCTACTTCGTCTCCATAGCACTTTCCGCCATGATCTCAAGATCTATGCCTCTGATGAGGGTCGTGTCCAGATGACTGCTGCTGCCTTTGCCAAGGTGTGCATACTACAGTTCTTTCATAGTCCCAGCTTCCATTAGGTAGAGAAGCAAAGAGTTTGGAGAACCAGTTGGGGAATTTTAGAGTATTTACAGTTTGACTTGGAAAGCAAGATAGATGCTTGCTTCTTTTATGCCAACTCAGAGGAGTTTCTCTTTGTGTCTCACCCCATTCTGTACTACCAAGAATGAGCTGAGGATAATTAGTGGGACCTTGACCTGTACCCCAGCTCTTCAAGCCAGCTACCATTTGGTCTCTGGGACCATCGACGCCTAGAGGGAGTAAGTGGGAAGGGAAACTAACAGACCTTGTACTTCCTCTCCAGGGCCTTCTGGCTTTAGAAGGGGAGCTGACACCCATTTTGGTACAAATGGTGAAGAGTGCCAACATGAATGGGCTCCTGGACAGTGATGGTGATTCCTTGAGCAGCTGCCAGCACCGGGTGAAGGCTCGGCTGCACCATATTTTACAACAGGATGCACCCTTTGGCCCTGAGGACTATGATCAGGTTAGGTTTTCCCTATCTCTGTGCCTCAAGTACCCTGAATCCAAAATTCCCAGAATTCTAAATAATAGCAATCAGTAATAATAGTATTTACTACATGCCAGGCACTGTTTTGGTTATTTCACACATCTTATTTAATTCTTACAGCAACCATCTGAGATAAGAACAGGCCCACAATATCTTACCTATAATTTCAAAAATTGAAAAGATTATTTGTAAGTTTGACATTAAGATACATTTGGCAGCCAAACCTGGCATGAACTGTCATAGGACTATTTATAATCCTTAGTTTTCCTACTTAGAATAAATGGTCATACATTTTGTGACAGAAATATTATGTTTGGTTATGCCCTAGGTTCTGTTGGAGATATTATATAACATATGACATATGCATTGTATTAACTTCTAAAGTTCAGAAACTTCTCAATTTCAAAACACAACTGAGCCTGCAGATTCTGCATAAAAGAATGTTTCCCTTATCTCTTGTTGTGTAAGCAACTACTCCAAAACTTAGTAACTTAAAACAACAACAATTTTATTGTCTCTCACAGTTCTGGGTTCAACTGGTCTTGCTTGGGTTCTCTCCAAAATTGCATCAGATGTTGACTAGGGCTGAAACTATCTGGAAGTTTGACTGGAATTCTGGGATGACTGACTCTTTCCCTCTTCATGCTATCCCTATAATCTCAGAGACTTTCTTTTCCACACGCTTTCTTCATGTGGTTTCTGTAGCATGATAGCTGGACATATCGAATGGTAGCTTTCAAATTTTCCAAGCTAGCTTGCTCATTTTCTCTCTTTTTCTTTTTTTTAAGAGATGGGATCTTACTCTGTCACCCAGGCTGGAGTGCAGTTAGCACAATCACAGCTCACTGTAACCTCAAACTCCTGTGCTTAATATAACCTAAATTCTGGGCTCAAGTGATCCTCCCACTTCAGCCTCCCTAGTAACTGGGGATTATAGGTGCATACCACTGCACCTGGCTCTTCCAAGCTTTCTTTTCTTTTCTTTTTTTTGAGGAAGTAGGATTTATTGAGAGAACGAAAAAGCTCCTAGAGCAGGAGGGGACCCAAGGGGGTTGCCCCCAAGCTTTCTTAAACTACAGGCCCAGTATCAGCAAAACATCACTTTGTTACTTTTTTATTTTATTTTTTGAATAAGGGTCTTACTTTGTTACCCAGGCTGGAGTACAGTAGCATATTCACGGCCACCGCAGCCTCAGCCCACCAGGCTCAGGCAATCCTTCCACCTCAGCCTTCCAAGTAGCTGGAACTACAGGTGTACAACACTACACCGGCTAATTTTTTGATGTATTATAGAGATGAGGTCTTGCCAAGTTGCCCAGGCTGGTCTCGAGCCCCTGGGGTCAGGCAATCCTCTCCCCTACCCCTTCCAAAGTGCTGGGATTAGAGGTGTGAGCCACCATGTCTGGCTACTTTGTTATTTTTTTATTGGTTAAGCAGTCACAGGGACAGCCCAGGTTCAAGGGAAGGGGAGGGACATAAAGAATAAATGGCTGTCTTTAATCCACCACAAAGACTGTAGACCACAAGGACTTCCCTCTCATTTTACAAATGAGGAAATCAAGACTCTGAAGAATTTAAGCAACTAGTCTGTATGTTCAACAGCTAGCATGAACCCAAGGAATCTAACTCCAGAGCCTAGACTGTTACACCACCTCACAGTATTAATCACTGTAGATGTCATTACCCAATATAGTCATTTCTTTTTCCTGTGTGTCCAGGCCACAATTGACCAGGCAGTGGTTTTCTACCCTTCCCATTCCTCAATTCTGATAGGTTATTTTAAAAAATTATTTATTTTTTAAAGTTGTGGTGCCACTTAACCATTTTTTTTTGAGTTGGAGTCTCACTCTCTTGCCCAGGCTGGAGTGCAGAGGCACACTCACAGCCACCCAAGCATCGACCTGCTGGGCTCAGGCGATCCTTCTGCCTTACCCTTCCAAGTAGCTGGAACTAGAGGTGTGCGCTACCATGCCCAGCTAATTTTTTTATTTATTGTAGAGATGAAGTATGGCAAGTTGCCCAGGCTGTTCTCGAACCCATGGGCTCAGGCAATCCCCTCACCCCAGCCTCCCAAAGTGCTGGGATTACAGGCTTGAGCTGCTGTGCCTGGCCTACTTAACCATTTTTAAGTGTATAGTTCGTGGCATTAAGTACGTTTACAATGTTGTGTATCCATTTCTCATAGGTTCTTAAATGAGCTAATCAGCTGAGCACATTGTTACGAGCACATAGCATTTTCTGTGTTCTCCTCTGAGAAGGACTTGATAAGGGGCAGGACCTTGCTCCCTTATTTTCTAATCCATTGCTCACTGTCAAATCAAGAAAAGCTAAGGCAACTTTCCTTTTCTCTCTTGTTGCCTTTTGATAGCAAGAATGGAACTTGTGAGGCTCTAGGTAGAATTTTACATTTTACCCACAATCTTTTTTCCTCTCTCCTCATCTCTCATTGTGACTGTCATAAAGGCTTGAATTGGAGCCCAATTCTGAGACAGCACTTTTACTCTCGGTTCAGGTTAGCATCTTGTTTAGAGGAATACGATATATTATTTCTAATAGCTATTCATGAAAACATTCTGCAGAGATTTTGAGGGTTTTTGGCTTAATCTTTGTCTTCAGCATTTTCCATGTGTATTTTAGAGCCCCCCAAGAAAAAAACATAGGTCTGCTTTATTTTCTCTGAACTCCAAGATTTTTAAGATCAACCCTTCTCAGATGACTGTGCCAGAGCCATTCCCTTACCTGAACCTAGAACTCTTAGTATGTCCAGTAGACTAAGAGTGCTCATTGGAATGAGCCAACATACAGGAATCTGGACTATTGACACTGAGCCTATCTTTTTTTTTTTGAGTTGAAGTTTCACTCTGTCACCCAGACTAGAGTGCAGTGGCCACTCCCGGCCACCGCAGCCCTGACCTGCTGGGCTCCAATGATCCTTCCACCTCAGCCTTCTGAGTAGCCGGACCTACAGGCGTGTTACCACGCCCGGCTGATTTTTGATTTATTGTAGAGATAAGGTCTTGTCAAGTTGCCCAGGCGGGTCTTAAACCCGCGGGCTCAGGCAATTCACTCACCTCAGCCTCCCAAAGCATGGGATTACAGGTTGAGCCACCGAATCCAGCCAAGCCTATCTTGTCTTTCTTCTCTTTATTCCCCATAGCTGGCTCCCACTGGAAGTACTTCCCTGCTCAACTCCATGACTATCATCCAGAATCCTGTGAAGGTCTGTGATCAGGTATTTGCCCTGATTGAAAACCTCACCCACCAGATCCGGGAACGGATGCAGGACCCAAAGTCTGTAGGTGGGTATGAATACTACTACAGTCCCTTCAAGGTCTCAGGTGGGGATGGTTTTTTCGGGCACTCCTATGTTGTCTCATAAATGTCTGAGACAGGGCATCGTCATCCCTCTTTCTACTTCAGAGTTGTGAGAGTCTTTTGTTGGAGGTAGACTCTTTTTGGGAAGTAGAATCTTTTTTGTTGGTGGTAGTCTCTGACTACCACCTTCCTTCCAGACCTGCAGCTCTACCACAGTGAGACACTAGAACTAATGCTACAACGTTGGAGCAAGCTGGAGCGTGACTTTCGACAGAAGAGTGGGCGCTATGATATCAGTAAGATCCCTGACATCTATGACTGTGTCAAGTATGATGTGCAGCACAATGGGAGTCTGGGACTTCAAGGCACAGCAGAGTTGCTACGTCTCTCTAAGGCACTGGCTGATGTGGTCATTCCTCAGGTGTGTCTTGTATAAGGGATCTAGCCTGGGGATAAGGGCATTGGGGAAGGAAGGAGAGAAAAGGTGAAAAGGAGGGGTGATTTGGGAACTAGGGGAAAGAAACTTAGAGTAGGAATTAGTTGAGTTGCTATAATTCTCAGGGTCCACTTTGGCTCTGGGTAAGTACGGGAGGCTAATTCAGGAGACACCTGGAGGAGGGGGAATGTAGGGGATATGAAAGAAGCTCTAGACTGAAGGTGAAGTTAGGTATGATCTTGGGCCTGGGAGTATGAAGCATGGAGAAAACAAGATTTATTGAGGTACTTATTCCTGGCCTATGGCCTCTAGGAGTACGGGATCAGTCGGGAGGAGAAACTGGAAATTGCTGTGGGCTTCTGTCTTCCACTGTTGAGGAAGATACTACTTGACCTGCAGAGAACCCACGAGGATGAGTCTGTCAACAAGCTGCATCCCCTGTGAGGGAGGGCTGGGAGGGGTGCTGGATGGAGGGAGGGGCATGCTAGGGAGCCTGGGGGAATCAAGGCTGGGACAGCTTGGAGAACCAAGAATAGATGGGATTCTGGGATGGAAAGGATAAGTTTTTGAGGTGGGAGAAAGGAGTTTGTGGAAGGGTGGGAAAAGGATTATCTGACTGTGTGAATGATTTAAATGTTATCTCAGGTACTCCCGAGGAGTGCTCTCCCCGGGTCGCCATGTTCGAACTCGTCTGTATTTCACCAGTGAGAGCCATGTCCACTCCCTACTCAGTGTCTTCCGTTATGGAGGACTTCTTGATGTAAGTATACTCCTTCCTTAGCCTGTGAACAACTTTTTCCAGCATTCCTTTCTTTTCTTCTCATGCTGCTTCTTTTTGTTTGTTTGCTTATTTTCTCATGCTTCTTTTTAAATGAAAGCTTTGTCTCTTCTCCCTGTCCATTCCCTGACTCCTTTGTCCTTGGACATTGGCTTACTTCTTTTTGTGTTTGATAGGAGACCCAGGATGCACAATGGCAGCGAGCTTTGGCTTATCTTAGTGCCATCTCAGAACTCAACTACATGACCCAGATTGTCATCATGCTTTATGAAGACAACACACAGGTGAGGAGCTAGTAGATGTGGTGGCTCACATCTATAATCCCAGGACTTTTGGAGGCTGAAGCAGGAGGATTGCTTGAGGCCAGAAGTTTGAGACCAGCCTGGGCAACATAGTGAGACCTTGTCTCTACAAAAAAAAAATTAAATAGTTGGGCATGGTGGTATGTACTTGTAGTCCCAGCTACTCAGGAGGCTGAGGTAGGAGGATTGCTTGAGACCAGGAATTAGAGTTTACAGTGAATTATGATCAAACCAATGCACTCCAGCCTGAGCGACAAAGCATACCCTGTCTTTAAAAAAACAAAAAACCCTAATACTATCTTATCCTTAGAATTTGGGGAATCCGGCAAAGTGTTGCACCTAACCACAGCATGACACAGCATCCATGAGGCTCCTACTGGGACAGAAAATATGTTCTATAGCTGGGCACGATGGCTCATGCTTATAATCCCAGCGCTTTGGGAGGACAAGATGGGAGGGTTGCTTGAGCTCAGGAGTTCAAGACCAGACTTTGTCTCTACAGAAAAATTACCCAGGTGTGGTGGTGCCTGCCTGAAGTCTTAGCCACTTGAGAGACTGAGGCAGAAGGATTACTTGAACCTAGAAGAAGGTTGAGACTGTGGTGAACCTTGATTGTGCCACTGCACTTCAGCCTGGGCAACAGAGTGAGACCTCAACTCAAATAAATAAAATAAAGAAAAAGAAAGAAAAAGGAAATCATGTTCTGGAGTGGTTTTGAGCCAGAACATGGAACCCAGCTCTAGCATTAGGGAAGGTAAGGAATTTGGGACAATGTTGAGTCTTTTTTCCTCAAACATGGTTATACAAATGTCTTGCGCATATGGTTCCACAAAGATATCTTTTATTTATTTATTTATTTATTATTTTTTGAGTTGGAGTCTCACTCTGTCTCCCAGACTGGAGTGCAGTGGCCGCTCCCTGCACTGCAGCCTCGACCTGCTGGGCTCCGGCGATCCTTCCGCCTCATCCTTCCAAGTAGCTGGAACTACAGGCGCACGCTACCACGCCCGGCTATTTTTTGATATATTGTAGAGATGAGGTCTCGCCAAGTTGCCCAGGCGGGTCTCGAACCCGCGGACTCAGGCAATCCACTCACCTCAGCCTCCCAAAGGCGCAGGATTACAGGCTGAGCCACTGAGCCCGGCAAGATATCTTTTAAACACTACTGTATGCACTACACCCAAGCTGAATTATTATGGGAGATGTATGATAAGGGATATAGAACTGGGAGATAAAAGTCATGTGGAGTGGTAAATCACAAATGATGGAAATGAGGGAATGAGGATCCTGTAACAGATTATAGTTAAAAGGAAGCTATAGCAGATCAGCCCCAGAGTGCAGCAAGACCTTAAGTCCCCAGGAGGATGTATCCTCTCCACTGCCCCTACCTGGTCTTCCACCACAATACTCATTCTGCTTCTTCCAATTGCTCCGTCATGTGTTGATGCCTCATAGGATCCCTTATCAGAGGAACGGTTCCATGTGGAACTACACTTTAGCCCTGGAGTAAAAGGTGTTGAAGAAGAAGGCAGTGCCCCAACTGGCTATGGATTCCGTCCAGCCTCTTCTGAGGTGGGTCAGAGTATTGGGATTTGGGACTGAAGGGACTTAGGAGCCAAGTGATGGGAAACTGGGAAACAGTAAAAGAAAGTAAAAAGAAGACCATTAATGCCTCTCCTATCTGCCTATTATTGTGCAGAATGAGGAGAGAAAAACAGATCAAGGGAGCATGGAGAACCTGTCCCCGGGGAAGGCATCAGATGAGCCAGACCGAGCATTGCAAACTTCACCCCAGCCTACTGAGGGCCCTAGCCTCCCGAGGAGATCACCCCTCATTCGTAACCGAAAAGCTGGCTCCATGGAGGTAATGAGAGGGGCTTGGGAAGAAGATGAAGGGGATAGAAATGCACGTAGAACAATATCCATGTGTCCTTTAAATCCTCTTGGGTGATTCTTGAGACTTGAAGCTGAGTCCTCCTGCCCCTGACTGGATATGTTTTACTGAATTTGTCTTTCACAGCTGGTCTCCCAACAGAGCTTCTCTAACCTGGTTGCTACTTTTGAGATTAAAGAGTTGCCAGTGAGGGATGCCTGAGAGATAAAGGTTTAAAGTGATGAGATTGAGAAGGAGGCCTCTGGATGAATTTGAAAAGGTAGTTCTTTAAAAGGAAATATCCCAGAACCAGCATGAACACTAGGCTGAAATCCCAGTCTGATACTTAGAAACTGTGTGACCTTGACTAGGTGACTATACTTTTCTAAGCCTCAGAATTTTTTTCATCTATGAAATGTGAGTTATATCCACCTTATGTACACTCAATAATCAATAACTATAATAACAATACAGTTGATATTTAAGGTCAGACCCTCTCCATCTCTTTGTTGCCTTAGGTAAAAATTATACTTGGCACTTTATTTTATCTATACTGTTGTTCCAGAAAGCAGATCAGTTTGGAGGTCTGTTTTCCTCACATTCTGATGAGAAGTTTTATCAGGCAGGGCTTGTGTTCTGCTAATCTTGGAGTTTGTCTCTAGCTCTGGTTCTAGTTCTCTGGTCTAGAGGATGGAACTGTTAATAATCTCACATTGTGTCCAGCTAACCATCCTGGGGATTTTGTTTTTGTCATTTTCCTGAAAAGACTGTTTCTCTCTTTGGCCCAATGACACTCCTGCTCTGACCTGATGCATCTACTCACCTGGCTCTATCTTAGAGAAATTGGTTTCTTCATTTTAGGGATATATCAGAAGAATCTATAACTAGCTTAATATAAGTTCAGCAAGAAGTTGACAGTTCAGATTTTGGAGAAAGCTGAGAAGACAAACTGCATCTCTTTTCTAGACTCATGCAGTCTCCTTTCTAGACTCATCTTTTACTTCCTGATTATTTTAAGGTGGAATTGGCATTGCAGATATGTAGTCTCTTTGGGTGGATTATGCACTATTTTCTCTTTGAGGTATAAGTATAACTTGGTATCCATAGTATTGTATTACCCTAAAGACGCATGTGAAATAGATCAGAACAGAATGACATATCAATAAGCTGCTCTTTCACATCCAAAAGTCTTCCTCATTCGTGTGGTCTACTAGTCTTCCTGACACTATTAGGCTTGCCTCCCTTTTTTATTCTGGTTTATGCAGTCAGGAGACGTAGACAAAGTAGAGCTCTCTGTGTTTCATCTCTCAGACTCGAGATCAACTTCTTTCAGATCTGTAGGAAGCTTCCTGTTGTAATCACATTTCTTCCTTTCAATTACTAGTGCTGCTCAGACTCTGTCTTCTCCGAGATGATAGTTACTCAAGTTATACTCATGTGCTCCTAAGCTTTGCAATCTTCTCTCTGCTTCTTGGTCACATTAAGATTTCCTCACCTTGCTTTGGACAGCTTTATCCTTACAAACTACATCCTTCACCCCTTATCCCTTCTTCTTCTCTTGCCATCTCATATTTTTTGACTGTTTTAGGTTATAAAATCTGAATTCTGTAAAATAGCAGCTGTGCCCTAGCTGGTCATCCTCTCCAGCCCTGTAACTAGCTCTGCCCTATGGGTGTTAGGGCTTTTGGGATCCTGGGGGTTAAAGGAGTCATGACCGGCTTTCCACCCGGTCTGATTGCAGGTCATGAACATGCAGTGCACGGGGAACCTGGACCTGATCCCCTTGCGGGGACGGCGCCGTCGGAGGTCAGGAGACCTCCCCCGGCCATCCCCAGCCATCGGCCTACAGCCCCGGGCTGTGTCCACCACTCACCTGGCATCCTGCACACAGGTGTCCTTCCCTACCTTGCCTTCCTTTCCTGCCTTCTGTCTTTGCCTTTTGGGATTTAGAAATTCAGAACATTATCTAGGTGGGATGTATGTATGTTGGAGGTTGTATGATTGGACCCTAGTGGGTATTTTTTTTTTTTTGAGTTGGAGTCTCACTTTGTCGCCCAGACTCTAGAGTGCAGTGGCCGCTCCCGGCC